GATCCAGGGGTGAGGGGAGGTGAATGTGATCTGAACACCATTGTTTTATCCCTCCCTGGGTGACTCCCATGTATAGAAATGACTGAAAAACACTGAATAGTTAATAAAATTTATCAGCATTTATTTTCCCTTATATAGCTTCAAATGATAAAACAGGATAGATATGCTTATATTCTGTAAAAAACATTCTGGTGCTTCTTGCTCACTCCAAGCCACTATACTGTGTCCTCCTGGATTTTATTAATTTTGAACCCATTTCAATCTTAAAGAAAAGTTGTAAGATTATGCCACTGTCATACTTTCTATAAATTCACATGTTTTTCCTGAATCATTTTAACAGTGAGCTATAGATGCCTCTTTAGATGTAAATAGTTTCTAAACCAAGGAATTATTTCACATAACTATAAGATTATGATCAAAATCAGGACATTTAACAATGATACATTATTAGCATCTAACCTACAGAACTTTCTTAAAGGTCTTCATAATATCCTTTAAAGCAATTTTGAACTACCCCCTTCAGTCACTGAAATCAATGCATTACAATCATTGTCCAGTCTCATTTGTCTCTTTTAAGGTAAAACAGTCCTTTCTCAGCCTTTGTCCTTCATAATGACATTTTAAAAAAGCTCAGGGCAATTATTTTTATAGAATGCTTTCAGTTTTGGGTTTGTTATACAGATATTCCCTCCTGATTACATTGTGGTTGTACATTTTGGTAGGCATAATTCTTAAATGATGGGTGTGTTCTTCTTAATGCGAGGAAAATTATGTTGATCTGTATTATTAATCATAAGAATGAATACTTGGCTAAGGTGGTAAATGACAGGTTTTGACACCATTGAGTCATTATAATTTTTCTTTGTAATTAGTAAATAATTTAAGACTTAAATATCTCGTTTCTCATCAAACTTTCACCTGCTAGTTATTTCAAGATTAATTTGTGAATCATGCCTGAATTAATTACTGAAATGATTTCTGTGTACACTTATTATTCTAAAGGTTATAATCCACATAATCCACTACAGCTACCACTTTTTAAAATTCTCAAATTATCTCAAATTTGACCAATTAAAACAAAGCTTTTCCTTGATATAGGATTTTTTTGAGCACTTAACTACTTTCTGGAACAAGATATTCATGTTCATTGTATTCAACTTTCCCTTGCCCTAGTCCTGGAATCACTGATTTCTCAGAGGAATCCGGATTCCTTTAAGAGGAAAATATTAAGTAACCAATATTTGGGTTATTAGGTATAGTATTGCAACTACTCTGACTTGGAGGAAATTAGGACATTTATCAGAAACTTTACAAAGGTTAGGATGCTGAGAAAATGTGATCTGTACATAGTAAGCACTCAAATAAATGAATATATAAAGGCAGAGGTATTCTGCAGAGTGCTTGTCAAAACCAAACTTAGTTAATTTGGAGAAAGGGTCTCCATGGTGGCATAGGGGTTATATGTATCAGTTATCACAGCCTGTATTCAATCCCCGCCAGAAAGTTAGCCCATATATAGCACAGCAGATCTCTCCTATCTTACCCACTGCTCCACTTAAAGAGTGTATTTCAGTAGTTCTGTCTGTTCTACGCCCCACTCTGTGGCCCATACCCCAGTTCTATGATAAACAAACAAATAAATCTTTAGGGAAAAAAATGTGAAGACCACTAACAGGCTGAACCCAGGAAACACTACCCTGGGGGTGGAGGGGAAGGGGAAACATCTAGGGAAGAGAAGTTGTCATATTTCAGCCACTGGAGAAGAATAAAAGGTACTTTTGAGAAGGTAAATTGTTGGAAAATAAATGGAATAGTTGGTATCATTCCTAAATACTTCAGTAAGCATAAGGACTCCTGAATACAAAAGCAAAAAATTGTGATCTTGCAATATAAACTAAGCTTAGCTGAGGGACACAACTGGCAAAAAAAAAAAAACCGCAACCCCTCAGGCCTCCCTGGTGGTGGGTGCACAAGGGGTTAAAGCACAGCACTATGGAGCTATCTGCAGTCAGGAAAACAAGAGTTTCATCCCTGACCAGAGAGCTGACCCACATGGCACAGCAGAACTCTCCTGTCTTGCCTGCTGCTCTCCTCAGCAGTGTACTCCAGTCAACTCGCCTGCTCTTCTCCCCACTCTGTCTCTGGTGAGTCCTCTCAACTCCACACCTCTGGACTGTACCCCAGTTCTTGTGTGCATAGATAAGTAAATCTTTTTTTTTAATGCTAGTCTTGTTTGTCTTTGATGAGAAAGTCATCTATACCACCAGAAATGAACTATTTTATTTAGAACAATTTTACAAAAGATGAAGAGACTGAACTTCCCAAGAAAAATCCTTCGTTCCTAGGCCCCCATCCTCATACAAAAAGCCAGTATTATATTTCTGAGGCAATGTTAATAAATCCAAAGCTGTTCAGTATTTTATGACCTAAAAATCATAAGAGCTGACTCTAGAGATATCCTATTTTAAGTACAAAGAATATATTTAGACAAAGCTTCAACAAAGAATGAGGCAGAGCTATATCAAGGGATATGATAATGTTAAATTCCTGTGTGTGATTTTACATGAGCCCTATTTCATTAAAGATAAAAACCTTTCAAAAACATACGTTAACATGTACTTACAGGCATAGAAAAAGACTGACGATACAGAACGAATTCCCCTTGGGATCAGAAGTAGGGAAGAAAATGTTCCTTTTTATTTTTTTTACATATCTATAATAGTTTAATAATGTCCCTTTTATGAAATGTTTACTTCCAAGAAAAAAATTAGAGATTAAAGTGCTTCTTCCACTCTTAATCTCTCAGATCTATCTTTAATGGATCTATGTTGGATCACCTCCTTTCACTAAAACAGAACTTCAAATCAAAATGATATATACCACAGTCCCATCTTAAAAGATCTATACTTTTAAAACATTCAAATACACATCCACAGAGTACCCCCTCCATGAGAATGTCTATAACACGCTCGTCTGAAGAGATCAGACACTCTTAAAACAAACTTTTAGGCCCTTCCTGGTGGCACTGGGGTTAAAGTCTCAGCACTATCAAGCTACTGCCAGCCACTGCAGCACTAATTCTATTCCTGGCCAGGGAGCTGACCCACGGGGCGCAGCAGACCTCTACTGTCTCACCCACCGCTTTCCTCAGCAGTGTGTTTCAGTCCGTCTGCCTGTTTTGCACCGACTGTCGCTGGTAAATCTTCTCATCTCCCCCCAACCTCTAGCCTACACCCCAGTTTTTGTATGCATAAATAAATCTTAAAAAAAAACAAACCTGGCCCTCCCTGGTGGCGCAGCGGGTTAAAGCACTGCACTGAGAAGCTAAAGCCACTTCTGCATGAGTTCGATTCCCGCCTGCCCCGGAGGTGACCACATGGCGTGGCAGACCTCTCCTGACCAGCCCGCTGCTCCCCTCAGCAGTGTACTTCGTCGATCTGCCTGTTCTGCTCCCCACTCTGTCTCTGGTGAATCCTCTCACTGCCTCTGCACCTCTGGCCTGTACCCCAGTTCTGTATGAATAAAAAAATAAATCTTAAAAAAAAAAAAAAAAAAACCTTTTAAAGACTCTCAAAGCTTTGATCAGGTTTTTAACTTACCTTTTTTATTGGTTGTGAAGTACTTGGAGTCAGTCATGGTTTTGGATCTTTAATGTGCACCTATAGCAAGAGAAAATAATTCCTTTATCCAAGTTATTTATGTTCTGCATGACATTTATTAATTTTAAGAATATTTATAAATAACAATTTCTTTGTTCAAAAATGAGTATCTAGGGACTCCCTGCTGGCCTCAGGGTTAAGACTCAGCGCTATCACTACTAGGGCGTGAGTTTGTTTCCCAGCCAGAGAGCTGACCACATACATGGTACAGACCTCTCCCATCTCACCAGCTGCTGCTCCCCTCAGCAGTGTATTTCAGTCAATCCACCTGTTCTGTTCCCTACTTTGTCTCTGGTGAATCCTCTCACTGCCCAGCACCTCTGAACTACATCCCAGCTCTTGTATGCATAAATAAATAAATATTTAAAAACAAAAAGGCTAACTGGAGCAAAATCCAAAGCAATAATCTGAACCTATCACAGTTTCAGAATTCTATCTGCAATTATCTCCTCAAAGCCTCTAACACCTAAAGCTAAAACTGTTTGTACATGTATCTTCAATTAGTCATTCAAATATATAAGCAAAAGTTTGTTTCAAAATAGCTCCATGTTACTTTCCACTTAGGAAAATTTGGTTCATGTCCCTGCCTAAAGACAGACTTACTCCAAAATACGTATGCATTCTTCAGTTGCACAGGGTTAAAAGAGGAAACAATTCTGCTACCATCATCACCATTAAGTTCTACTTTCAATGAAAGAAACCTCTTTCAGGAAAACAAAACCTGAATTAGTAGAATATTCTTCATGCCAAATATACAGAGGCAAGCATGCTTTACACATGGATTTTTTTTTAATTATTGTTATTTCCAACAACCTACTCTTAGCCCAACAGTATCCTCAAAGAATAAATTATCAAGTACAGTTTAAAATAAGGCAAAAAAAGGGGAAATAACTGTTCAGTCCTATTGAACATAAGGGAATTAGAACATGGATCTGAGCCTCTACTTTGATTGTTATATTCAAATTTCAAAAATTGACCTAGCTGATAAATGGCTCACCCCAAAAAACAAAATTTGCATGACCTGGTCACATTTTCTCAAAATGATGAGATGTTTTCTGCTATAAGACTTTTTCTTAGCTACTTCTTTAAATACATTAAAATTTTCTTTTAATAACATCCCCTCTGAACTCAAAAATGAATTTCTTCCTTACCACCATCATTAATAATACTTATTACAGATTTAGTAGACACCCTGGCAACTGTTCATTACCATCAAAATAACAGTGATCATATATTTGGCAAACTTGAGTAATAACACCCTTGGCAAACAATACAAAGAAATGTATCTGAGAGAGAAGACTGAAGCACTAAACAAATCAATGTAATTAAGGAAAAGGAAAAAGAGCCAGATAAATATGAAAAAAGTCTGGCTCTGCTCTAAAGTGTGCTACTTGGACAATCCAAGAATTAGCCTCATTTAATATATCCTTCAGGCAGCTTCATACTATTTGCAGTCCTGACCCCTACATAATAGTGATTTAGTATTTAGTATTTCACTGAATTACCTTGTTTAAAAAGGTGAGTTAAAACTTAAAAGTAATTTAAATAAAGCAGAAATTTGTTTTAGTAGTATTTATCATTAAAAATTAACTTGTGACCAACACGGTACACCAGACCTCTTCTATCTCACTCACTGCTCCCCTCAGCAGTGCATTTCTGCTTCCCATTCTGTCTTTGGTGAATCCTCTCACCCCCACCTCGCACCTCCAGCCTGCACCCCAGCTCTTGTATGCATAAATAAATCTTTAAAAATTTAATTAATGAAATCTTTAAAAAAAAATTAACCTGTAACAAAAGCTTGCCTTATACAGTATCTTCATAATTATCTTTCCAGATAATTATGGAAAGATAAAATTTTAAAATGTTATCATCATTTAGTCCCATTGACAATGTAAACTAAATATGTTCAACAAATTCAAATAAGGACCCCTTTACCTAAAAGACCTTGTATAAACCTAAAGTTGCTATCTAAGAATTTACATATACAGAGATGAGACTAATAGCTTATGGCCAATATAGTCTATCTAGGATGCTATTATGCTATTCTAAATCCTGTGGGATCAAGATTCAAAGCTTAAAACTTAAGATTTTTAAATAAAATGTTGGAATTTTTTGCCCAGTTTCTTTGAAAAAGAGCATAAAGTATGGTCTGTTTTCTAGCTCTTAAACAAAAAAGAACTATAAAATTCTTAACAGGTTTCAACACCACCTCCTAAGTATTGCATTAACCTAGTCTTAAATCCTACCTTCCTCGCTACCCACACATCATTGCCTCCTCTGCCAAATTTCAATGTCAAAAAATATATTTCTGTCCTATTCATTGTGAACATTAAATGTTCTTAACCAGAGACTAATGTCCCCACTCACAAATCTCAGGAAAGAGAAAGCAATAAAGTAATCTAGAAGCCCATACTCATATCCTAAAATAAGAATCCCTGTTCTTAAAGAAAAGGAGAAAACAGACTCTCTTAGCTTGTACTATTGTAAACAAAGGCAATGAAATATCCTTTACCCTTATTGGTAGAAAAACTGTATCAAGTGAATTCCTGCCTTAAGCAAAAAGCACAAATAAGAAAGAAAATAATCTTTAAAAAAAAAATGAAAAGAAGGTGGGTTGTACAACTCTGTAAATATACTAAAAGTCACCATGTAAATAATTATGTGAATCTCACCTAAAAAATTACGTATATTTTTTAAACGAGTACACCTACCCACATGCCAGAGATGAACACAGATTATTCAAAATATAGGCTGTTGAGGCCTCCCTGCTGGTGCAAGGGTTTAACTTTCAGCACTATGAAGCTATGCATATCCACAGCAGTGTGAGTTTAATCAATCCCCTGCCAGGGAGATGACTAAGTGGCTAGACAGACCTCTCCTGTCCTGCCTGCTGCTCCCCTCAGCAGTGGACTTGAGTCAATTTGCCTGTTCTGTTCCCGTTCTGTCTCTGGTGAACCCTCTCACCTCCCGCCACCTCTAGCCTACACCCCAGTTCTCATATGTACAAATAAAATAAATCTTAAAAAATACATAGAATGTTGAAAACTATTGTTTGCATTACAAGTCAAAGATTTTTCTGAATGCACAAATCAAGAGAGAACTCCAGATCAAGAATTTGCTGAAAAGGCTGAAATACAGAGCTCCTCCTGAGGGACAATACCCTTCCACCAGACAAGGCAAGACACTGGCTTCTGAGGACTTCCAGTATGGCCTAGGGACAATGTTAAACAAAGCAGCCACAGTCAACAGTACAAATTCACTTACTACTCTTAGCCCAGAATATGATGTCACTTCCTTTCTGAGAAAGTCCCCCTTGCACAGGATTATATATCTAGACTTAACATAATCTAGTTTATACCAAATACACATTGTGTAAATTCCTTCTCTCCTGTTCTTCCCCTCTTCAGTTCCTCAAAATAAAGTAAGGACAGAAAAAATAAGGTCTTAATTTCAAATGGCTCTCTGGGAAATGGCAGCTAAAACAGTGCACAAGACTGTTAAACCCTTTTATTTCTTATATATTGAGAAAAAAAACATGTACATATATATAAGTATATATATGTATGTATGTATGTATGTATGTGTGTGTGTGTGTGTGTGTCTATATATATATATATATTTCTTTTTTTTTTTCCTCCCCTGTTCCCTTACATTCCTGCCATTCCTGCTATGAGTGAAACCATATTTTTCTTTCTGGCTTATTTCACTAGGCATGATCTTTTCCAGTTCCATCCATGTTGCTGCAAATGGCATGAATTAAAACCTTTTCACATAAAGCTGGACTGAAGAACAGTGTGGTGTTCATGGAGTAAAACCGGCTAAAAAGTCAACCAAATTATAAAGCAAAAAGGTCATTCCAGCGATCTTTTATTACTGGGTGAAAGGTGACAATCATACATTCAGTAATAAAGCAAAGTAAACAGTATTTTCAGCTACTACTTAAATTACACCTAGAAGCTAAAATCACCTGTGACTGCTATTTAAATGACTAAAATTTGTTAACATTACACTGTAAAAAAGCTCAGGCCCTCCCTGGTGGAGCAGTGAGTTACCATGCAGCAATGCAAGCTGGCTGCAGCCATTTCAGTGCGAGTTCAATCCCTGGCCCTGAGGTGACCCACATGGCGTGGCAGACCTCTTCTGATCGGCGTGCCCACTGCTCCCCTCAGCAGTGTACTTCGTCGGTCTGCCTGTTTTGCTCCCCATTCTGTCTCTGGTGAAGCCTCTCACCGCCCCTGCACCTCTGGCCTGTACCCCAGCTCTTTATGAATAAATAAATCTTTAAAAAAATAATAAATTTGGGCCCTCCCAGATGGCACAGTGGGTTAAAGCACAGCACTAAGAAGCTAATGCCACGTTAGCATAAATTTGATCCCCTGCCCCAGAGATGACCCACATGGCAGGG